AAGGAAGAACACTGCAGGGTCCTCACAAATTATCCAATCTCCCTTCCAAGCTACCAGATTTTTGACTCTAAACCCCACTCGGTACATCATCAAATGGGCATTCCCCACCCCGACCTCAGCATTCTGAAACCCGACTATAATACCGCGTACCTTCCACCCCAGGGAGATCTGTTTTTTTTGACTTTAAAAACCCACTTTTTGGCAAAAAATTGTCAATAAAGGATCACATTAACTTCAGTGTTTTATATTTCATTTTGTCGTATTTATTTCCCTTTCCATTCAAGTAAGACCTAGTGTGTATAACCCATTTCTGCTTCGGATCAATTTGCTTTCCCTTGGGAAATTTTGAAGTGTCTCCTGGGAAAATTGTTGCCTTTTTTGATCAGTTTTTTTTTTTTTTACATTGGGTGTCTCCCCCCGTGATTGGGTGACTGAAAAAGAAACATTTTTTATCATCATTTACACTACACTGTCGCTAAGGGGCAAGATACGACATTCAGATGCCCTCCAAATGGACAGGCCCCACCCGTCCCCTTTTGAGTGGGAGGCACGTACTTTTCCCCCCACCAAAAACTAAAGTCCGGCTAACCAAATTACCCGAATCCCCTCACCTTGCTCTCACTCCAAAAGCTGATCATTTCTTACTTCAGCAAGGCTGCCCTGAACATAACAGGTTTTTTTTTTTGGCTACTCTTAATCCATGAAAGGGCCCTTAGAGTCTTTTTACTCTACTCAGGGGAAAACTACTGTTGTCGCTTTTTCTCAATTAGTTTTAAAATACATTTCTGGTGTTTAATTGATTTTTTTTTTTAATTTAGTTAAGATAAGATATACTTTTTTTTTTTGAGACATTTTTCCATATAAACCCCCAAAACAAAAGGTTCCTTTTAAATTTTCTTTAAAGTAAGGAACTGCTACTTTTTCATTAATAGAGTATTTAACTTTTTCTTTGTTTATAAAATTTTTAAGGAACATACGTTTTGAAATTTAAAGTATTTTTTGAAACTCATTTGTTACAGATACTGGGATTGTCCTCATTCTTATACTGCCAGTTGTTTTTTTATGTAAAACCTTTTAAATATTGTCTCTGAATAATTTTTTAATGTAAAAAAAAAACCCAGGGAAGTGGAACAGAATTTTTCCCCTCCTAACTATGTGTGCAAGAGCAACTAAAATCTGGGACAAGGGCATAACCCCCCCCCCTTCCCTGGATAAATTTCTAATTTTAGAAGAGAAACTTTTTTTTTTCCTTTTCAGGGCACCCTACCTTGGGGGGATTGACAAAAAAAAAAAAGAGTACTACTTAACTTTGCAAAAGTAAAACTTTTTCAACAACTTTTTCCAAAATAAAAATGTATATCTGTATGAAAGTGTAATCAGTATAAAGGGACATCATATAAAATGAAAAGGGACTCAATAGAAAGAACATCAAAAATGAAAGTGTACATCAATTGAAGTGACTATATAGAAAGTATAAATCAATAAAAGGGACTCATATTTGGGGAAAATGTAAAAACATATAGCACGTGTACATCATACATAAAGGAAAATCATATAGAAAGGTACATCATAATAAAATGTAAATATGAAAATGTACTCATATATGAAAGTGTACAAATAATGAAAGTGTACATCATATAGAAAGTGACATCAATTGAAAGGGTACTCAATATGAAAGTGAAAATCATATAGAAAGAGTTTTTAAAAAACTTGTGGAATTGCTACCATTGTAAAGCCATCATTTGCTCTAATTTTTGTCTAGGTTTTATATTTGTCAGAGATTGGGGGAAATTTTTGACTATTTATTTCTGGGGACGATGGTTACTTTTGGTAAAAAAAACTTCACTGTAAGTTTTTTTTTTTTTCAATTTTCTTAACAATCAAAACCCCATGTGGATGATATCTTACAGTACTATGCAGGTCAGATGCCCTCAGGTCTGGGGAAAAGGCAAATCATTTTCCCCTGCCAAGGAAAGTGGCCAGTTATTTTTTTGGCAACACATGGATCCTGAGCTGGGAAATGGTGCAGGTGGGCCCTAACGTGGAATTTTTTTTATTTTTACTGATTTTTATTTTATTACTGACATTTTTCACTGTGCCATCTGTTTATTTTGCTCTTAATTATCTCCAGATGGGAAAAGATGTGGCTGGGTTTCAAAATTTTTGGATCAATAAAATTGCATATCTAGGGGCCCCCCTTTAAAAGGGGTTTCGCCCTTTTGGATTCTGCTAAACAGTGGCTTCAAATTATGACCAAAACTCTCTATACAGCAAGCGGTCCCCCTTTTTAAAACGGGGGAGCGCCAACCCCCGGGGTTTTTTTTGTTTTCCGTGAGCACATACTCTTAATCACTCTGGGCACATTAAAGCCTTATTTTTGTTAATAAGACATTTTCTTAAACTATCTAATATTTTTTTTCAAAAATTTTGTAAGAAACGTTTTTTTTCTACATATAAAAGGCTACTTTTAAAGCCGGGCAGAGGGAAAAACATTTTCATTTTCTCTGGGTTTAGCACAAAGAAAATTTGTATGAATCTGTGTTGGGCCCAGTCACTCCCCCAAACCCCTTTTGTTGACAATTCCGGCATGAATTATTCTTACCTCCCTTTGTGTAGATGCATCTAAAATTTTTTAGAAACGTTAAATTCAGTAACAAGGTAACTGATGTAAAATATGGCTCTGGGGCCCTAGTGTAGGGGCCAGAAGGTGATCCCAAGTGGGGCTACACCTACCGCAAAAGCCTACACTGAAATTTCCCACTGTAATTAAGCTCACCCTCAACCCACATTTAAACTACACATATTTTTAAGGTAATAAGAGTGTACTGTAGTTATTTTATCTTTTTCTTCTCTTTAAACCCGTAAGCGGTCCAAAACTAATACGTATACGTTCTCTCCCGTGGCCCAAAACTTTTTTAGAAAAAAAAAACTTTTTTTTAATAGAAAAAAAAAGCATATGTACCCGGGATCCCCATTTTTTTTAATATGGGGACCAGTGATGCACACACTCATTTTCTCACTCTAGGCGACCAGGCTTTTGTGGGAATGTTGAAATTTTGACAAATAAAATAATTTTTTGGGGACTAGCGGTAAAAACTAATTACGATTGGACATTACAGGTTTAAAAATCGTATATTAAAACCCCCCTCCTGAGGAAAAACCCCGGGGTCCCCAAATTTTTCAAAAAAAAAAAAAAAAAAAAAAAAATTTTTTTAGAAAGATAGAGAACTTTTCCGATTTTAATGACACCAAAGAACAAAAATTTATGGAAAACTGATGAAAAAATGCCTCGCGAAGTTTAGCACCTCACCGTATTTTTGAATTGCGATTTCGCCATTGAGCCCTAAATTTTTGGCTAATTCCCTGTTCCAGTCGACCAACTCAAGCTATTCTTTAAAATCCATTTTTTTTTATCGAGCGAGTACAAAAACCCCATTTACCAATTTTAAAATACCAATAACTGGGCAGAAAAATTTTCAATTTGGCCATTTCACAAAAATTAAAAAATATGACAATTTCAAATGGCCCGAATAACAAAAAGCAAATTCCGGCTCTAAAATAACTTTTTTTTTGTTCATTTTCACGTCTCCAGGCCCCCGTGATATTCTCTTTTCTTTCATTTTGAATTTTTTTCAAACAAAAAATAGAAAATTTACGTAGCAACACTGAATATTTTAATAATTTTATAAATAAGTCAAACCCCTTTATGACCTATTAGAATGGCTACTTGGGCATTTATTTGGAAAAAAACATCATTTTTTTACTTTTTTAACACGGCAAAAATCAAACTTTTTCCCCAATTTTAATTTCCCTTTCAAGTTCTTTTCATAGTAAAACCAATCAAAACCACCTATTTCTATAATATGTTTTCCATTCTATCAAGTGAGACCAAGAAAACGAGATTACAACTAAAAATACTATAAAAATAGACCCTGAATTTCGGCATTTTAAAATTTAAAAAAAAAGGTCGGAGTTTTTTTTTTTTCTCATCATGCACTGCGTGCTGCAGGATTTTTTTATACGGTGCACACTGACCACACAGACCCATTCTCTCACATGTGGGCCTACCAGCTTTCTCCTGCTTGATTTGAAGCCGCTAGAATTTATGTGTATATATACGTCAAAAATGGTGGCTCGTAGGACATATATATATATACGACCAAAACAGTCAAGGGGTTAAGTATGAGACAGAAAGCCAGGGCTACCTACACCTGGCTTCCTACAAATAAGTACTACTCACCTCTTGCCCTACATTAAGACTACAAATATTTTAAGGTAAGTAATGAATGTACTGTGTTTTTTAATGCCTAGTTTTATTACTAACTTAATATAAGTTAGTGTAAACTTGTTGCCTGGCATTTATATGCATTTATAAATGGAAAAAAATGGCCTGCTTTCTAGCAATAGCCTGGAACCTAACCTGCCATATAAGTAAATAAATAAATAAATAAAGTTTATTTCTTTGTAAAGGTTACAATGTGTAATTACAATTTTGATTTGCTAAGTACAAAGATAGCCACTATCATGCCGAGGCATTTCGGGCAAACTAATCCTAATACATGCAGAAGAAAATGGCAATATATTCTAGTAGAAGTGGACTTAAGACAGTGATATGTAATGGTAGCAACTTGTTTAATGTTTGTGTAGATGGGATTGCTCAAGTATGAATATTGGTGTGTTAGTGAAGTGTGGTGAGTGGTTGTAGTTGAAAGTAAAAATAATAGAGCAAGGTGATGAGAGTAAATAAAAGTCTAGAGAATGATAGATCAAAGGGGAGTAAAGAGGAAGTGAATCTGTTTAAAATTTTGGGAGTGGATGTGTTGGGAGATAGGTCTTTGAAAATTGAGGTGACTTACAAGATACATATGAAAAAAAAAGTACCAGGACTGTCAAAAATTTTGTGGACTGAAAGACTCACATTGATGCAACAAAAAAGTTTTTGTGCAATTCGTAAGATGTTATTTACTCTTTGTTTAGTTTTTTTTTGTACTTTTTTTCAGGTGTTAGATGCAAGTACCCTTTCATCGCCACTAGTAGACACTGAGCGTGCTCTAGCCATGTTGGTAGGAGTGTATGCAAGTTGTCTTGCACGTGGTCAGCCAGCAACACCTTGGGAACTAGGACATGAGAAATGGATTTCTGCTGAGTTCATGAGAGCTGGGTGTCAGGTATGAGTTTCACAATATCTGGAATTGTACCACCCAAATATTACATTTCGCTTTAATTACAAAATTTATTAATAGAAAACACGACTGTTGCCCTAGGTAGTAGGTTGGTAGACAGCAACCTCCCAGGGAGGTACTACCGTCCTGCCAAGTGAGTGTAAAACGAAAGCCTGTAATTGTTTTACATGATGGTAGGATTGCTGGTGTTTTTTTTTTTCTGTCTCGTAAACATGCAAGATTTCAGGTTCGTCTTGCTACTTCTACTTACACTTAGGTCACACTACACATACATGTACAAGCATATATATACTACACACACCTCTCTGGGTTTTCTGCTATTTTCTTTCTTGTTCTTGTTCTTGTTTATTTCCTCTTATCTCCATGGGGAAGTGGAGCAGAATTCTTCCTCTGTAAGCCATGCATGTTGTAAGAGGCGACTAAAATGCCGGGAGCAAGGGGCTAGTAACCTCTTCTCCTGTATATATTACTAAATGTAAAAGGAGAAACTTTCGTTTTTCCTTTTGGGCCACCCCGCCTCAGTGGGATACGGCCAGTGTGTTGAAAGAAGAAGTGTATAGGAACTTGACGTGTTCCTTGAGGTGGATGACAAAGTGCTTTGTCTTGGAAACTGCTGAGTCAGTAGCTAGCTTCCGTCGCCACTCACTCAGTCTTGGCTGGTGTCTCGTGCCACCAACACCTATTGACCACATGGTACACGGTATCATATGTTACAAGGTACCATATGGTACATTGTGCTATATGGTATAGGGTACCATGCAGTACGGGAAAACATATGACACAGGGTACCATATGGCACAGGGTACCATATGGCACAGGGTACCATACGGTACAGGGTGCCATACAGTACAGGACACCATGTGGTACAGGTACAAGGATCCCTATGGAAATAAGTCACCCTGACATTTTTGGGTTATCCTAAGATTTTATACATATGCTGCTATGTATAATAATCCATTGTAATAAAGTTGGTAGAATTACTGACAATATGTAAAGTAAAAGGACACAAGTGCAACTAATGTGACATTTATTGTGGCAACGTTTCGCTCGCCAGGAGCTTTATCAAGCCATTACAAGCAATACATGGACACAGGGTATATAAAGGCTCAGAGTGAGGTGCAATACTAGTGAGGTAACATTTCGATGTTCACTAGGGGTAGTAGTAGTAGTAGTAGTAGTAGTGACAAAAGTAATAAAATATGATAGAGCAATTAATCCGTACAAGAGTAAAAGGATGTAAAAGCTATTACTTGGGTAACATAAAAATAGGTTGGACAAATATAGACTGGAAAGAGGCAGCAGATGCAAGTGCCTCGAATCAGCACTGATCGCTGTTTCGAATACAATTAAACAAAACAACGGCAGCTTCACCATCTCCGAAGTCTTAGCAAGAATCCTCCTGAAAACAGTAAACCCTGCCATCACATAGTCTCTCCTGTTATACTACACAAAGCACATTACAGAGAGTGAACACTGAAACATGCTGCCTCTTTCCAGTCTATATTTGTCCAACCTATTTTTATGTTACCCAAGTAATAGCTTTTATATCCTTTTACTCTTGTACGAATTAATTGCTCTATCATATTGTATTACTTTTGTCACTACTACTACTACTACTACTACCACCACTAGTGAACATAGAAATGTTACCTCACTAGTATTGCACCTCACTCTGAGCCTTTATATACCCTCTGTGTCCATGTATTGCTTGTAATGGCTTGATAAAGCTCCTGGAGAGTGAAACGTTGCCACAATAAATGTCACATTAGTTGCACTTGTGTCCTTTTACTTTACATATAATAATCCATGTAATTGTATTTCTGTACACCTGAATAAACTTACTCAAGTGCATGTGGCATCATAAATAAGTTTATTTACACAAATAAAGTTACATAGAATATCATACTTAGCAGCATATGTTTGAAGAACCTAGGATAACCCAAAAAAGTCAGACAGACTTATTTGCATTAGGGTCCCTGTACCCTGTACTATATGGTATAATGTACCATATGGTACAATGTACCATATGATACCATTGTATGACATGCCACCAATGTACCATATGGTACCATTGTTCCATATGGTACAATGGTACCATATGGTTCAAAGCCATAGAATTCCTTTTCAGCTCCACTTCCATCGGTCTTAGAACTGTAAGTTGTGAAGAGGAACTGTAAGTTGTGAAGAGGAGAGTCAGAATTCGCCCGGAGAGTGAGTGGGGAGTGAGAGCTTCCTTGCCGCCAGGCATGATGAATAAAGCTACTTTGGCAGCGTTCTCACAATGCCATGCAGGCATCCAGATTTTTTCTATAGTGTGCACACCGACCATTCAGACCCATTCTCTCAGATGTAGGCCTTCCTGCCTTCTCGCACTAAATTTGACGCCGGTAGAATTTTAGTGTAGATCTACGGTTTGGACCCTCAACGTAAAGCCGTAGATTTATGGCACAGACCCTGAAAGGGTTAAAAAGAGAAACTTTTGTTTTTCTTTTTGGGCCACCCTGCCTCAGTGGGATATGGCCGGTTTGTTGAAAGAAGAAGAAGGATTGCTGGTGTCTTTTCTCTGTCTCATAAACATTCAAGATTTCAGGTACGTTTTGCTGCTTCTGCTTGCACTTAGGTCACACAGCGCATGCATGTACAAGCATATATAAACACACCCATTTGGTTTTCTTCTATTTTCTTTATAGTTCTTATTCTTGTTTATTTCCTCTTATCTCCATGGGGAAGCGGAACAGAATTCTTCTTTCGTAAGCCATGTGTGTCGTAAGGGGTGACTAAAATGCTGAAAGCAAGGGGCTATTAACCCCTTCTCCTGCATATATTACTATACAGTGGACCCCCGCATAGCGACTTTAATCCGTGCAAGAGGGCTGATTGTTATGCGAAATGTTCGGTATGCGAATGAATTTTCCCCATAAGAAATAATGGAAATCAAATTAATCCGTGCAAGACACCCAAAAGTATGAAAAAAAAATTTTTACCACATGAAATATACATTTTCCTACACACAAAGAGAAGGATACATGCACAATAGTAGAGTAGTACATGCACAATATATATTGTGCATGTACTACTCTACTAAATGAAGAATAAATGACACTTACCTTTATTGAAGATGCAGCAATGACTGATGAGACACTGTGTCCTGGGAGTGCCTTTTCCTCCTGAGTACTGTAGGTCCTGTTTGGCATTTTCTTCCAGAACAGGCCTTATCACACTGTGTATGCCACTACGATTCTTAAATCTCTCAAACCAACCTTTGCTGGCTTTAAATTCACCAATATGAGCACTAGTTCCAGGCATTTTTCCCTGTTCACCTGGGTGTTAGTCGACTGGTGTGGGTTGCATCCTGGGAGACAAGATTAAGGACCCCAATGGAAATAAGTTAGACAGTCTTCGATGACACTGACTTTTTTGGGTTATCCTGGGTGGCAAATCCTCTGGTATTCTCAATAAGCCACACCAACAACGGTGCTACAGCAGCAGCAGCAGCTGACGGTGGTACAACAGCAGCAGACGATGCTACAGCAGCAACAGACGATGCTACAGCAGCAACAGACGATGCTACAGCAGCAGCAGACGATGCTACAGCAGCAGCAGACGATGCTACAGCAGCAGCAGACGATGCTACAGCAGCAGTAGACGGTACTACAGCAGCAGCAGCAGCTGACGGTGGTACAACAGCAGCAGCAGCTGACAGTGGTACAGCAGCAGCAGCAGCTGTACCACCAATAGTAGCAATGGTTGATTGGGGTTTATTATACAACCTGGCCAGCTCGGAGACACGCACTCCACTTTCATACTTATCAATGATCTTTTTCTTCATCTCTATAGTAATTCTCACCCTTATTGCTGTAGGGTTGGCACTAGAAGCTTTCTTGGGGCCCATGGTCACTTATTTTCCAGAAAAAATCTCCAAAAACACTGTAATAATACGAAATGTTCCGATTGTATGCTTGGATGTTACCGCGGAGGCTGGCTGGTAAACAATGCCACCGGCGGAACATGTGAGCGTGGCTCAGGCCGCACATTGGATGCGTCTCGGACGAAGAGCGGTGAGCGGGTTTTTGGGCGGTATGCGAGGCAAAATTTTTGCGAAAAAAGCGAGCGGTATGCGGATTGTATGGTATGCGATGCGTGCGGTATGCGGGGGTCCACTGTATTTAACCCTTAAACGGTCCAAACAGATCGACGTTCAAATTCATAGTGCTCCAAAAGTAGATCTGCCTTTTTTTACATATTTTCAAATATAACAAAAAAAAAGTAGATGAAAGTTTTTTTTACACGTATTCAAATGTAAAACAAAAAAGAAGGTCTACATTTTTTTACGTGCTTTCAGATGTTGAAAAAACGTATACATGTATATACGTTTGGACCGTTTAAGGGTTAAAAGGCGAAACTCTCATTTTTCCTTTTGGGCCACCCTGCCTCGGTGGGATAAGGCCAGTTTGTTGAAAGATGGTGACTGTTGCTACTTGTTTATCAAGTAAACTAATTTTGAGTTGTGTGTTCTGTTTGTGCTTTAACCCTTAAGCTATCCATATGTAGATCTACATTTGCACGCATAGCGCTCCGAATGCAGATCTACGTTTTTTGCACAAGAAACAATGTAAAATCAAACGTAGATCTACGTTCTGAGCGCTACGCGTGCAAGAGTAGATCTACGTTTGGACAGTTTAAGGGTTAAGTAATTGTCACTGAAGGTTTTAAAACACTTTTCCAGCACTGAAATTGCTTCTTTAATTAAGTTTTGGCAATATTTAATGTATATAATTTCACTAATGCAGACTGTTCAGCCACCTGACCCATATGATGAGGAGAAAGGTGAAGCCAGAACTGGTTCCTCTGCTACCACTCCTGGTTCTGCTACAACTCCTGGAGATGTCAGACTTCCTCGCCCAATAGATCCACTCTCACACAAGAAATCGAGATCACAAGGCCCAAATTCAAGTCCTCAAGTGGAAATAGATTCTTATTTCACAAACATGGCTGATTATTTCCTTTCAGCTCTGATGGAAGGAAAAACACAGGTATTGACAGCACTTTATTAATGAAAGAATCAGTTGGGAAAATTCTCTCTCTCTCTCTCTCTCTCTCTCTCTCTCTCTCTCTCTCTCTCTCTCTCTCTCTGTCTCTGTCTCCTCTCTCTCTCTCCCCTCTCTCCTCTCTCTCTCTCTCTCCTCTCTCTCTCTCTCTCTCCTCTCCTCTCTCTCTCGCTCTCTCTCTCTCTCTCTCTCTCTCTCTCCTCTCTCTCTCCTCTCTCTCTCTGTCCTCTCCTCCTCTGTCTCTCTCCTGTCTCTCTCTGTCTCTCTCTGTCTGTCTCTCTCTGTCTCTCTCTCTCTCTCTCTCTCTCTCTCTCTCTCTCTGTCTCTCTCTCTGTTCTCTCCTCTCGTCTCTCTCTCTGTCTCTCTCTGTCTCTCTCTCACTCTGTCTCTCTCACTCTGTCTCTGTCTCTCTCTCTGTCTCTCTCTGTCTCTCTCTCTCTCTCTCTCTCTCCTCCCTCTCTCTCTCTCTCTCTCTCTCTCTCTCTCTCTCTCTCTCTCTCTCTCTCTCTCTCTCTCTTGCTCTGTCTGTCTCTGTCTGTCTCTCTTTTTTTTTTTTTACACAGGGTTTGACAAGGTTAACCCTTTGAGGGTCGACAGGCCCTCTCCGAAACTCGTTCTCAGGGTCGGGCAAATTTCAAAAAAAAAAAAAAAATTATTTTTTCTTATGAAAAAATAGAGTTTTTTTTTTCTAAACATTATAGGATAAACAAAAAAAATTTACCATCAATACTTACGGAGATATGGATGCATGAAGTTTGCAGAAAATGAGCCGCGTATGGCAACAGCGGCGACTGCCGCTCACCCGGTAAACTTTAGTTTACTTGTATTTGAAGGTTTGTTGTTTTTTTCACTATTTTATTTTTTCACATAACTTTATGTGGCCTGTGAGACCAAAGTAAGGTGCAATGTACATATATACACTCGTTGTATACAACACAATAAGCACACAAACATAATTATCAATATATTGTTTACAAAACTTGTTTACAAAAACAAACAATACAAAACATTGTTTATTATTATTGTTCTATAATATATATACCAATATACAGTCACTGAACATATTCCTATTAGTTCTGCAGCTTGTGGAACTCTGAAACATGGTGTCATACACAATGGTGTTTTATCTTTCTCCCTCATTCTATCTCTTTCAATCTGTCTCTCTCTTTCTATCTGTCTATCTATCTCTGTCTCACAGGTACACATAAATACAAGTATACATAGTATAAATTACCTAGGATAACCCAAGAAATCCAGACATAGTGCTATACTCTGCTTGAAGATGTGAGTAAAAATGATGACACAGTCTTGTGGCTCTCTGAGACAGAGAGCTAGACGGATAGACAGATAGACAGGGAGATTGACAGACAGACAAATAGACAGACAGAAATGTTAGTGTACCAGTACCAGTGTACTAGTGTTCCACCCTCCTCCTCCTCTTCTTCCTCTTCCTCCTCTTCCCCCTACTCTTCCTCATACTCTTCCTCCTCCTCCTCTTCCTCTTCCTCCTACTCTTCCTCTTCCTCCTCCTCTCTTCCTCCTCCTCCTCTTCTTCCTCTTCCTCCTACTCTTCCTCCTCCTCCTCTTCTTCCTCTTCCTCCTCTTCCCCCTAATCTTCCTTGTACTATTCCTCTTCCTCCTCCTCTTCCTCTTATTCCTCTTCCTCCTACTCTTCCTCTTCCTTCTCCTCCTCTTCCTCCTCCTCCTCTTCCTCCTCCTCCTCTTCTTCCTCTTCCCCCTACTCCTTCTCCTCCTTGTCCATAGTGTAAATTACAAGGAGTCCGCAGCTGTCAAAGTGACATATTAGCTCATTACTCTTTCCCCCTCGGCCTGTCAAAACAATGGGGTCGGATGCTGCTTCCCCTCCTCCATTCTATCTAATTATCTTTCTCCCTCATTCTATCTGTCTGTCTATCTCTGTCTCACAGGTACACATAAATACAAGAATACATGGTATAAATTACCTAGGATAACCCAAGAAACCCAGACAAAGTGCTATACTCTGCTTGAAGATGTGAGTAAAAGTGATGACGCAGTCTTGTGGCTCTCTGAGACAGAGAGCTAGATGGATAGACAGGGAGCTTGACAGACAGGCAAATAGACAGACAGAAATGTTAGTATACCAGCAAAAACAAAGGGAGGGGATGTTCATCTCATCTTTTGGCATCAGCTCTACCCTCATTTACCCTCATCAAACGTCAGCACTTATCAGATGTTATCTCCCCTTATCTTGTTACTGTCATGGGTGAACATTTATTATTACATATATTATTATTACCTATTATTATTATTATGTATTATTATTATTATTATTTATTATTATTATTATTATGTATTATTATTATTATGTATTATTATTATGTATTATTGTTATCATTACGTATTCTTCTTCTTCCTCCTCCTCCTCTTCCTCCTCCTCCTCTTCTTCCTCCTCCTCCTTCTCCTCTTCTTCCTCCTCCTCCTCCTCTGCCTCCTCCTCCTCTTGCCTCCTCCTCCTCTTGCCTCCTCCTCCTCTTGCCTCCTCCTCCTCTTGCCTCCTCCTCCTCTGCCTCCTCCTCCTCCTCCATTCTTGGAACAAGTTTGAAGATCTTGTAGTTCATAATCACTATCATTATCATCACCAATGCTCACATCTGAGTCTGGGATTTTGGGAAATAGGAGTTTCCTCTTTGATTCTGGTACAACTGAACGACGGCCCAGCACAGAGGTGGAAGGCTGTGGTTGTCTGGGTTTTCCTCACTATTACCCATATTATGGTCATTAGTTTCGGTCAAAACCTCACCAGAACCTTGAAACTCATCTTCACTGTCACTTCCATCTGTATTAGAACTGTCACTGGGGAACAAAAGTGTCCCAATTCGCCGAGGAGTGAGGAACTTCTTACCACAGGGCATGGTGGAAATTGTGTACTATGATGGCATTCCCACAATGCACCATTGGGTCCCAGATTTTTTTCCTACTGCGCACACCCACCACACAGACCCATTCTCTCACATCTAGGCTTATCAGCCTTTTCCTGTGAGATTTGAGGCCGCTAGAATTTATGCGTACTAGTACGACAAAAACCCCTACGCGTAAGACGTACTAGTACGACGAAAACCCTCAAAGGGTTAAGGATCCCTAGCTTTATTGACAGCTATATTACAGGTTAAGGATTCCTAACTTTATTGGCAAGCTAAGAGCTGTTACCTACATCAGCTCATTTGAAAGCATTTTTATTGTTATGAGACATACAAGTAGGGAACAGGATGAAGTTGGAGCCATCTGTGGGCCAGCATTTTCATTTGATCAACTGACTTTATCTTGTTGACATCATTATGCCCTCTCTCTCTCTCTCTCTCTCTCTCTCTCTCTCTCTCTCTCTCTCTCTCTCTCTCTCTCTCCCCTCTCTCTCTCTCTCTCTCTCTCTCTCTGCCTCTCTCTGCCCTCTCTCTCTCTCTCTCTGCCTCTCTCTCTGTCTCTCTCTCTCTGTCTGTCTCTCTGTCTCTCTCTCTCTGTCTCTCTGTCTTTCTCTCTGTCTCTCTCTTTTTTTTTTTTTTTTTTTTTTTTACACAGGGTTTGACAAGGTTAAGGATCCCTAACTTTATTGACAGGGTTTGACAAGGTTAAGGATCCCTAGCTTTATTGACAAGCTATTTACAGGTTAAGGATTCCTAACTTTATTGGCAAGCTAAGAGCTGTTACCTACATCAGCTCATTTGAAAGCATTTTTATTGTTATGAAACATACAAGTTGGGAACAGGATGAAGTTGGAGCCATCTGTGGGCCAGCATTTTCATTTGATCAACTGACTTTATCTCGTTGACATCATTATGCTGTACGAATGTGTTCCATACTCGAGTCATCCTGGGTATATAGGATCTCAGGTGGAGTGAAGTTCTGGAGAAGGGTACAGCCAGAGTGAAGTTGCTGCTTTCTGCCTGTCTTGTGGCATAAAAGCTTGTTTCACGCTATCCTCGAAGTGGATCCAAGTGTGGTACTTTGACAATATTGGCTTTATACATAACAGTAAGGCCACCCACATCCCTCCTGTGTTGAAGTCTCTGCTGAAATGACAGATCTATCCAGGATGGGTCCTGGTGAGAGATGAGACGTCTTGTTCTGTTCTCCACTCTGTCAAGCAGTCGCAGATGAGAGGGGGGAGGGGGCAAGCAAACCAAGAAAGTGGAGCATACTCAAGGTGTGAGCGTACTTGTGCCTCGTACAGAATCTTGCAACCCCTACTGTCAAGCAGATGCGAGATACTGCGAAGTGCTGCAAGCTTCCTGGCTGCCTTGTTTGCTAGACTTACAACATGATTCTTCATGGTTAGTTTGGAGTCAAATTTCACCCCAAGGATATCAACTCCTTCTCTAGGTGCCAACACCCTCCCATTTATCCTTACTACTGCACCAGCATTACCATCATGGTGCCTAGAGACGATCATCATTTGCGTTTTCTCAGGTGCAAATGTTACTTGCCATCTATTTCCCCAAGCTGATATAGCTCTTAGCTGGTGATTGATGTAGCTTAGAGCAGCTGGCATTTCTTCTCTCGGATAAGTGAATGTCAGTGTACAGTCATCTGCATACGCATGTGATTCTGGGATGAGATGAAGAAGATCGTTGAAGTAGACATTCCATAACAATGGTCCCAGCACGCTTCCTTGGGGAACACTTGCCGCAATAGGATGTCTTGCTGATTCCATTCCATTGAGAACTACACTTAGAGATCTACCATGAAGGTAATCACTGAGGAGACATAATGTAGAGCCGAGCCATTCCCAGTGGCTTGAAGTTTTGCAAGAGGCCCTGGTGGCCACACCCAGGTCGAAAGCACCAGCAATGTCCAGTGCTACCACACACACACTTGGATTCAATCCAGTGACTGGTGCCCACTTAGTGGAGGAGGATTTTTAAACAATCAACGCAGAGTAACCTTTCCTGAAGCATATTGACGGATCACAGAGACAAAGTAGTGAGTGATAGCAAAAAACTCTGTCATTT